ACACACACACACACACACACACGTTCAGACCCACTGGGCCAAGAACAGCACTCTAAAATGTTAAATACTCAATAGACGTTTTAACATGCCAGTATCATAAATCTCAGACTGTTGAACTATTTTCTCAGAACAACAACAACAACAACAGCTGATAAACCTGTCTGTAACACAACCAGAGTATCTGAATACAGCTACACTTGGTTTCTAAATTCCTTAAATGTGTATCGTGCTGAAGAGGAATCAGTTCTACGTCACTCCCATTCCCATGGTGTTGCAAGGTGGGTAGGACCCCCACACGGAGTTGTAACATAAAGTGGAAAAAAAGCTTTTTTCCTATTCCTCTGAAATGCTGGAAAACATTTCTCTTTCTAGAAGTATTCAAATAAAACATTGCTTAATTAACTATTATGTTAAACCGGTTATACAGTATACATGTTACATGTAATGATAGCTGCTTTTTCAGCGGCAACAAAAATATTTTAAACATATATAATACGGCTATTAAAGGAATGGACCTGGATCCTCTCTCATTCCATCATAAATAATATTATACTTTTTTCAAACTTCATGGTATGTTAAATAGTTATATTGTAATTGTTCTATATATATATTTCTTGCACTCCCTGCTTCAAACAGGATAGTAGGCTTTGGTTAGCCTTATTCCAATTTGAGTTTTCAGATGCTAATTGACTTCAGAGAGCTTAATAGGTTAATATAAAGCCAGCAGCCATTTATTGTAGCCTAACATAAAGAAAGGAAACAGCTAGCAAGTACAAAAGGGGCCTGATAACAGCCTGTAACTGTAATTAAACACAAAAACTAAACTTTTGGATCACCCTAAATCAGGTGTTGTCCACCTGTCAGTCCTTAGCTGGAGAAAATGCTGGAATTGCTCTGAAAGACCCCAAAAGAGTTTATCTTTGAAGCATAAACTCAGATGTACAATTACTTTCAACTTTCTCAGCTTCAGCGGAGGTGAACTTGGATGGAAGTGAGCGAGGCATATTTGGATCCAGCATCCTCTCACTCTGGGTGTGTCCTGTCTGCCTCTGGCTCGGAGTCTGACCAAAATGAGTGGCCTGCTTTTGTCCATCCCATCTGCAAGGCCACATCATTATAGCCGTGGTGCAGAGAACCCCATCATTCAGCCTCCACCTCGCACTGAAATAGCCCAGTGCTGCAGCCTGTAGGGGGGGGGAGATATTTCTGACCTAGGATCAACATCCACTGGGACATTTGATTTAGATTTAGAATTGTTTAAAGGACTTTATTTGCCTAGCAGTGTAAAGCCGATTCAGCCTCACTTTGATGCCACTTCGCCAAAGAGATCTCTTTCTCCATTTCTAAGGAATTCCTGAAAGGTTAACAATATCTTTTCCCTCTTAATCATCAATAAGTGGTTTCTTGAACAGGAAAACGGTGTCTGATTATTAAAAGACATTCTGGTTTGGGTTTTGGGTGTTCCGTTTCTGAACCACCACGGTGTGGTCCGGTTTCTGGGGGGCAGAACAGCCCTATGTTTAAAACTTCAACAGATGAGAAAACTTCCCATCCCACTTCCTTAACTCTGAAAAATAAACCAAGAGCATCATGGGAAAGACAAACAGTACTGTCACTTGCATTAGAAAAACAGAGGTAAATGTTTTCACAGGGCTCGGTTAGACGATCATGAATCACTGAAGACAGCCAAGCAGGAGGAAATATATATTCGTTGACAAATTAGACAAAAAGTAACTTTGTGATTTTATGACCTTACACTTCTTATATTTGCATGGAAACAATGTTTATTTTCAGCACAAATGCAATTTCATGACCTTTTTGTTTGATTCTGCATCATCCTGTCAGTAACTTACACATGTCATTGAGGAAAACTCATGTAGGAGGAGGTGGCTGTCACTCACCGTTCTTGGTATCTTCTTGGCAGGTGACGGTGATCACCTGAGCCAAGGTGAAGACCAGGCAGAGAGTAATCCCAGAGCGTAAATAGGGGCCCATGTCTCGATAGCAGACATGCAGCGGTCCTCACACACAGCCGCTGCGACACACACAAGGAAGTCTGAGAGAAGAGAGAGAGTCCGACCCAGAGCTACAGCATCCAGACTGAGAAAATCCAAATATCCCTGAGTGGAGCGGCTCCTGGATGAGCGATCACTGCACAGTGAAACAAGCTCCCTCTTCACCCCCTCCTCTCACTCTCCTCCTCCTCCTCCTCCTCTATCATCATCTTTTCGTGCTTCATTTCAAGGCCAACCTCCTCGGGCTCTTACAAGTTTCCTTGAAAAGATGCAGCTAATTAAAGGCTGCATGAAATGTGTCCATGATGAAAAGAGATGGGCTGAATGATGATGCATCTCAAATACTTTTGGAATCTCACGTTGAGTCGTTGCAGTTTTGGCAACCTGCATTGTGGTTCAAAAATTATGATTGAAGGACTTTATTTAGCATTGACTTTGGTTAAAGCTGTATTAATCAACATTTTACTATTCAAAATGGAACAAATAAGTAATTTGTGCTTCTGCAGCATTTAGTCTATTTGTTGCGTCCTTAATGACCCTTTTCATTCAGCCCCCCATGCCCCATGCATGTTTCATAGATCTTGCTTAAAAAAGCAGAAAAACAATTCAGACAAACTTATGTGGGTAGTTTGTGGGAAATAAAGTCAAAAGGTATAAAATGACATGACTTATATTCGAACATGATATAATTGAAGCTTAAGTCTCTGAAAAACAAAAACAAATGTTTGATGTAACGCATGTGCTGTTTGTTTCCAGAAGAACCAAGGTACATATTTATACTGTATCAATGAAATAAAAGCAACCTTAAAACTATAAATAAATAACCTTTCCCGTATGTGTTGCAATCTACCTGAAATTTTTGCTGAACTAAATCTGTGCGCACCACTTTAAGCGGTTTCCAATGTGCATGTAACATCCATCTGATGTGTTTTCCAGGGCAACGTTCTGCCAAGTCGATGCTTCACGCAGACTGTCCGTCCCGGAGGTGGAGAACCAAACAAACATCATGGTTTATTTACCTTGGTAACCACTAGTGACCCGGGCACAGTATTTCTAAATTAGAGTTATCAAAGCCTTCCTAAAGTCACATTTTGTGTCACTGTATGAGGAGGACTTCACTTGTTTACTTTGCCTCTGCTACAACCGAGTCAGGAAGTGTTTGAGGTGCTGTGAGAACAGACTGCTTTCCCATTAAAGAGTCACGGGGGACAGAAAGGGAGGCAGATGGGAAGACAGTTCCTCTGTCAGATGAGATGTACATCCAGAGGTTTATTCTTGTGGTGCGATGAAGTGGTGCTGAGAGGAGATTTCCTTTTCTCATGTTGGAGGGCAGCCCCTGAAATAGCTACTTTTGAAAGGGCTGGTGGTCTAAAGCTGTACGTGCTGTTTGGATTTGGTTTAACTCTTCTTATTATCCAACTGCAGACACAATCAGTGATTGATCTTTACCTTGTCTCTGTGCAAACTGCACACATATTAGCTGTCCAAATGTATTTCACATAACTCTGTGTCCTTTCCACACTTCTGAATACACTTTTTTATCACCTGCACTTGATACTGATCATTTCCTTAGGTTAATCTCCCAAGGTTTGGAGAAACTGAAATTCAATCCTGAAATTCCTGGCTGCACGCCTGAATGTAAATTACACTATGATGATTTTTTTTTATAGCTTCCAAGAAAGACCTCTTTTGGCCAAGACATAAAAAATTACAGGGAGTGCAATGTATAGAAACTAATACTAACCTTGTGGAAGAAGAAAGCTTTTTACATGTGGTGTTTAAAACCTAAAAAAAAACATGGATATTTCGGGCTGTCTCAACTACAGCAGTGTAACCACAGGGCAGATCGGCCCATGATCATGCATGCAGGACACACACACAATGAGAGGCCACCAGTCTGAAAAGATGGACATTATCCAAACTCAAAAAAGGCAAAGGGGTAACATGTTCTGTTTAAGATCAGACTTTAAAGGGCTCCTATTATGCAAAATGCACTTTTTGATGTCTTTTATACATAAACATGGTGTGTCAGGGAACTCTCAAAGTATCAGAAAATACAACCCTCTCTCTTTTCCTCCTTACCCACATCTCTAAAAACGGTGGTACAACGGAGCTGATCCAGATTTGCTTCCGATATGACGTTATATCGGAGATGTGGAAAGATCAGAAACGTCGCTATCAGAAACGTTGCTATGTATATTATGTATTTATTTCAAAGAGGGCCATGCGTACAAATACATTAATCTCAGAAAAAAGAAAATATGAATTATGCCAGATTATAGCTAATTTTCATCTGCAGTCCTCAAGAAGTAATATGGTCTGTGTTTACATTAGCAAGCATCGCTAACACTCAGAGCTAACGCTGTGCTGGAGAGAGTCTGTGTAAAGAAGCAGGATATAAAAAGGTTCTGTCCTTGTGGTAAAGCCGCGAGAGAGAAAGTGTTTGAGCTCCATACTGTTTCAGAAATGATCCTTGATGTGGTTTAGAACATGATATGGCGTTTTAATCACGGCAGCGTTTCTCGTTTTTTAAAGCTACACACCAGAATCAGCACTTCTCTAACAGGGCTGAAATAGAGGGGTATGACACATGGCTAAAATGGGTGATCTGTTTTGTATTTTGAGCAAAACACTTCAAATACATGCTTTTTTTATATATCTGAGGCCTATAATATATGCCTAAAAATAGTAGTATAGGTGACCTTTAAAAAAGCTTTAGTATGCAATTCCCAGCCGAAAAGAGTCAAATGTGAAAAATGCTCTTATGATGTGCTGTTTCCAACCTTTATTTGTCCCATGACAGGAAGCTGCAGTGACCTATCAAGTTGACACGCTTATTGTCCCGTGTTCCCTTACACACTACCTGCATTATTAAACACCTCACGGGTCTGAAAGAACATTCCCCAGTGAATGGACCCAGCAGTGTGTGCACCACAGTAGTCTTCGAGGAACAATATTTTTCTGTACCCTGGTTTGATCGTCGACATGTTTGCGGCAGCCACTAAGAACTTTGTGAAGCAGGTGGGAGACACAGGGAGGCTGATCCCCGTCCCCAGCCTGAGCGAGGCCGACCGCTACCAGCCGCTCAGCCTGGTGTCCAGGAAGAGGAAGAGGCATTTCTGGAAGAAGAACAAGCACGCCTCCACCGCTTTCTCACTGAAAGACATCCTGGTCGGGGAGAAAGAGATCACAGCAGGTACAGTGATAAACACAAGGATACTTTTTGGGGTATTTGTTGGGACCAATGGTAAATGTGTCTTCTAACATAAAAAAATCCATATATTTTACCCCGTAAGCAATTTACAGTGACATAGTCTGTATTATCTCATTCCATCTCTACATTGAATTGTATGATTACACTGAGGGAACTTTTTAAATACTCTATACACATTTATATGGTTGCCTCATTCTTTAAAATGGAAGTAAGATGTCTTCAGCATCATTTTATGCTAATCTTCCAAGAATTCAATCTGATGTTCGCAGTATCTTTGGAAATCTTGGAATATCAACTGCATTTTAATAAATAACGTTAAATAAATAAGGTTTATTCAACTCAATATTGCACATTTTCTTTGATTGTTTTAAGATGTTGAAGCCCTAACATAAGTTTATAATGTTGTCACCTTTTAAATGATTGTAGTGTAGTAAAAAGCAACATCATTTCCTAATGAGTGGGAAGGAAGTACATAAAAGCAATGTATCCCAGCGTAATATGATCACATCCCTTTCATTTATTCTCAAACAGGAGTATCTTCTTATCAGCTCCTCAACTACGAGGATAAATCTGACGTCGCCCTCAACGGTCGGTTAGGAAACCACCTCCTCAACGATGTTGGGTTCAACATCAGCGGGTCGGACTCTGTGGCCGTCAAAGCCTCGTTCGGCATCGTCACCAAACACGAGCTGGAGGTGCCCACGCTACTGCGAGAGCTCAACTCCAGGTAACACAACATATCATCAGCATAGAGTCAGGCTGGTTGGATGCAGTGCCATCTCTGTCATGTGTTATTAATAAGTGGAGTCAATTATTATTTTTCCCCATTCATTATGTATCTTTTTCAAAAGAGAGCTGAGGTAGAAGTATCTTAAGAGTCATGCAAGTGTTATACAGTAATATCCTTCTTGATACCTTGCATAGACTGCATCATTTTAGACAACTGAATGAGTTTCATTTGATTTCAAACTGAAATTGTTTACATTTCCATAACCTAAATGAAGTGGGGCCACAATATATAGATTGATCAACCAGCAATGGGCCAAATACCACATCACATGAAACGTGTAAAACTCAGTTGATTATATAATGAATATCCAAATGAGAAATATCTGGGCTCATGTCTCAAATGTAGAAAATGGAGGACACATTCATTGTCCTCTACTTCTAGATTGAGGTTTTTGAATACAGCTACAGGGGTTTTTTCCCCTAACAAAAGCTTTAAGTCAACAGCTGACCTCTGACCTCTTATGACAGAAGGAATATGAGAGGACGGGTTTCCCAGTTAGGATGAATAAATGATCATGTTATTCTACACTGGCACGCATGGCTGTCTCTACATACAAGAAGACAACACAAGAGTGTTGCTCGATATTAACTGGTGTCAAACTTGTGTGTTGGAGATATTGGTTTTAGCCAAATGAATACCCGACCAAACGTCAGATGTTTTATTCTCCTGTGTCAGGAAAGTGGACCTGGATCACTGCCTGGTCCGGCAGTCTAAGGAGAGTGGACGCACCGCTCTCTGCGTCGTTGTGGAGAGCATCCGGACCACCCGTCAGTGCTCTCTGACCGTGCACGCCGGCATGAGAGGGACCACCATGAGGGTAAACACAAATACATTTAGACACACTTTGGGAATGCAACACCACCAACTTGTAGTGAATAAAACTGTATAAGAAAATTCAGACACTAATTCATCCCAAGTTGTTCAAATGTCCTGCATTGAAGTCAGGTACTATACCAATGGTGGGATATTTCAACTGTTAATCTTATATTCAACAAAGTCAAATGTATTGAGTTTATTATATTGTAATGGGGTTTCCAATTATGCAAAATGCACTTTTTGATGTCTTTTATACATAAATATGTGTCCCTGGTGTGTAAGGAGACTCACAAAGTGTCAGAAAATACAGCCCTCTCTCTTTTCCTCCTTTTTCACATCTCTGAAAATGGTGGTTCAACGGAGCTGATCCAGATTTGCTGCGGTCATGACGCGTTACAAAAAATGTGGGCTGGCTTTACGTTGATCTCCTGGCAACGTTCCGCCCACGGCCTTATTGTCCGCTATCAGAAACAATGCGCAACGTTTTGGAAGTAATATGGTCT